GAAAAATAATGTAACATGTTCCAGTTTACCAATCCTTAGACATGGTGGCTGCATTTGTTTTTTTTTTCTTTAGGCTAAGTATATTTTTTTGCAAATACAGAAACATATCTCTTGATCTTGTTAGATTCCAGTGTTGTTTTTCCTTCCTGTGCACTGAACTGAAATTTGAAACAATACTATAAACTTTCTGACAGGGGAGAGATGACTGTGTTGTTTACACACAAACCTCTCCCTGTTCGCTGTTCCTCGGAAATCGCCGGGTGCCAGTGGGGAATCTCCAGCCAGGACCCAGTAATCAACAGCTGTAACTGCCAATGACAGCACAGGTAGGGTGGCGCGCGTGTGCCCCCTAGCTGTAAATGCAAAATGTATGCATGCATATATATATATATATATATATATATATATATATATATATATATATGATTTTGTGCAGCCCTGCCGCCCTGCAGCAGTAGTTCTGCTATAGGGCGGCAGGGAGCAATTAAGCAAATTGCAGAGCTGGTGACGTGACACAAGTTTAAAACTTTTGATCACGTCTCCTTTTGTAAAATACATTTTTAGTATCTAGCTATAAAATCAACACTGTAAAATCTTAGAAGTTTGAAAAAATTAAGAAAATTAAATTGACCAGAACTATAGTTTTCTTTTAACAAGGCCCAAGCTGGACCTATCAATGCCTCTTACACTGCAATTCAATTCTCTTACACTACAGAATGACTATATATGGAATAAACACAATGTACAATCTGCAGAAATTGCTGTTTGGATAGGACAGGTGCAAAACCTTATGCCAATCAGACTTCTGTTAACACTAAAATATCATTTCAGATTGAATTCCTTTTCTGAGCCAGGATATGGCCCTTCAGACATCTATGGGGTTCAACTGTGCAGAGGCGGCCAGGGAAAAAAAAATTCAGGAGAAGGCGCAAATGATTCCTTTCAGCCACAGCAGTCCCTTTCTAGTTAGCATGCATCTGGGGTGTATAGTATATACTGTCAAGTTTGTGTCAATTCTTTGAATGGGAAAAATGGGAATGGTGGCTGTGACAGATCCAACCGGGACAGGACTTTTGGAGGGGACTGCAGGCTAGCCTCTTGCCTACTGACCATGAGCTCTGGCATCTGAGGGGGCTCTATTATTTGGAAGATGTGTGCCTGGGGGACTTTTTGGAGCAGTTTTACTTCAGATTCAAGCCCATGTCTGCTCGAAACACAGAGACTCTGAGAACTGGAGGACCAGGATACAGATTTGGGGTCTCTGTGCCCAAACCAGCATTGCTTCAACCCCCCCCCTCCTAGACCAAGAGACTCTAAGCAGATGTTAATATAATCAGCTCAAAACAACCTGATGCTGAAGTCTTTTGCTGTAATCTGTTTATCAAAGTGTGTTGTGTTCACTGTTGTGTATTTGTCCCATTGTTAATTGAGTTAATCAAGTCACCTACTGTTTTTGTCTGTTGGCTAGTCCTCCTGGAGGTTCCTGCAGAATGGGTTTAGTCTGGTGTCAACTTGACCTAATTATCTAATCAGTGTGGGATGTTTATCCCAATGTGTAATGTTTGTTTTTATTGTTCATGTGGGGACTACACCTAAGCTAGTGTCATCTAGTGCTTGGGTGCAGTGCCCAGGTATAATACCTTGGTCCTGTGTACAAGGAAGCAGTTCTCTGATGGAGGCACTCAAGTGGGGTGCCTGGCAGTCCGTCACAGTAGCGTTACCTTAAAATCATCCCAAGTATTTTACTTGTAGTTATCAGAATAGAATATTTGAAATTACTGCTATTGTAAAAATATTGTATTCTAATAATATATGGTTACTACTAGAGATGAGAGCGAATCGAACCAGGCGAACCGGAATTCGAGTCGAATTTCAGGAAATATTCGATTCGCGGCGAAACCGAAATTTTGCCTACTTCGGGTGCGCGAATCGAACATTTCCCGATCAGCCGGCAAAAGTGTCCCTGCAGTGAGCTCCGCTATTTCTGACAGTTCTCTGACAGAAGGAACACATGTTTAGCGGTTGAAAACATTGTATCTATTAGTTTATATTTAGGATACAGATGTTTCAACCACTGTTCATGTGAAGAAGCTGTGAGAGAACTGTCAGAAAATAGAGAACTCTGCACATACACTTTTTGCCGGCTTGGAATTATTCTTCTTTTCATCCTACTTCTTCTTCTTCTTCTTCTTCTTCATCCTCATCCTCATCCTCTTCTTCTGAGGATGAGGATGAGGATGAAGAAGAAGAAGAAGCAGTAGGATGAAAATAAGAATAATTCCAAGCCGGCAAAAAGTGTATGTGCAGAGTTCCTCTATTCTGCAGATACACTTAGAGGAGCTCTGCACATACACTTTTTGCCTGTTTGGAATTAATCTTATTTTCATCCTACTTCTTCTTCTTCTTCTTCTTCTTCTTCTTCTTCTTTATCCTCATCCTCAGAAGAAGAAGAAGAGGATGAAGAAGAAGAAGAAGAAGAAGAAGTAGGATGAAAATAAGAATAATTGCAAGCCGGCAAAAAGTGTATGTGCAGAGTTCCTCTATTCTGCAGATACACTTAGAGGAGCTCTGCACATACACTTTTTGCCGGCTTGGAATTAATCTTATTTTCATCCTACTTCTTCTTCTTCTTCTTCTTCTTCATCCTCATCCTCATCCTCAGAAGAAGAAGAAGAGGATGAGGATGAGGATGAAGAAGAAGAAGAAGAAGAAGAAGTAGGATGAAAATAAGAATAATTCCAAGCCGGCAAAAAGTGTATGTGCAGAGCTCCTCTAAGTGTATCTGCAGAGCTCCTCTAAGTGTATCTGCAGAATAGAGGAACTCTGCACATACACTTTTTGCCGGAAACCGCTGTATGGAGGGAATGTCCCAGAACTGTCAGAAATAGTCTATTTCTGACAGTTCTGGGACATTCACTCCATACAGCTGTTTCAACCGCTGTATGGAGGGAATGTCATAGAACTGTCAGAAATAGACTATTAATGACAGTTCTGGGACTGTCCTTCCATACAGCGGTTTTGAAACATTGTATCTATTTGTTTCCATAAATGGATCCATTTATGGAAACAAATAGATACAATGTTTCAACCGCTGTATGGAAGGACAGTCCCAGAACTGTCATTAATAGTCTATTTCTGACAGTTCTATGACATTCCCTCCATACAGCGGTTTTGAAACAGCTGTATGGAGTGAATGTCCCAGAACTGTCAGAAATAGACTATTTATGACAGTTCTGGGACATTCACTCCATACAGCGGTTGAAACATTGTATCTATTTTTTTCCATAAATGACATTCTGCAGATACACTTAAGGAGCGCTGCAGATACACTTTTTGCCGGCTTGGAATTATTCTTATTTTCATCCTACTTCTTCTTTTTCTTCTTATGAGGATGAGGATGAGGATGAAGAAGAAGAAGTAGGATGAAAATAAGATTAATTCCAAGCCGGCAAAAAGTGTATCTGCAGCGCTCCTCTAAGTGTATTTGCAGAATGTCATTTATGGAAAAAAATAGATACAATGTTTCAACCGCTGTATGGAAGGACAGTCCCAGAACTGTCAGAAATAGTCTTTATTTCTGACAGTTCTGGGACATTCACTCCATACAGCTGTTTCAGAAATAGACTATTAATGACAGTTCTGGGACTGTCCTTCCATACAGCGGTTGAAACTTTGTATCTATTTGTTTCCATAAATGGATCCATTTATGGAAACAAATACATACAATGTTTCAACCGCTGTATGGAAGGACAGTCCCAGAACTGTCATTAATAGTCTATTTCTGACAGTTCTATGACATTCCCTCCATACAGCGGTTGAAACAGCTGTATGGAGTGAATGTCCCAGAACTGTCAGAAATAGACTATTTCTGACAGTTCTGGGACAATCACTCCATACAGCTGTTTCAACCGCTGTATGGAGGGAAATGTCATACAGCGGTTGAAACAGCTGTATGGAGTGAATGTCCCAGAACTGTCAGAAATAGACTATTTCTGACAGTTCTGGGACAATCACTCCATACAGCTGTTTCAACCGCTGTATGGAGGGAATGTCATGGAACTGTCAGAAATAGACTATTAATGACAGTTCTGGGACTGTCCTTCCATACAGCGGTTGAAACATTGTATGTATTTGTTTCCATAAATGGATCCATTTATGGAAACAAATACATACAATGTTTCAACCGCTGTATGGAAGGACAGTCCCAGAACTGTCAGAAATAGTCTATTTCTGACAGTTCTAGGACATTCACTCCATACAGCTGTTTCAACCGCTGTATGGAGGGAATGTCATAGAACTGTCATAGAAATGGATCCATTTATGGAAACAAATAGATACAATGTTTCAACCGCTGTATGGAAGGACAGTCCCAGAACTGTCATTAATAGTCTATTTCTGACAGTTCTATGACATTCCCTCCATACAGCGGTTGAAACAGCTGTATGGAGTGAATGTCCCAGAACTGTCAGAAATAGACTATTTATGACAGTTCTGGGACATTCACTCCATACAGCGGTTGAAACATTGTATCTATTTTTTTCCATAAATGACATTCTGCAGATACACTTAGAGGAGCGCTGCAGATACACTTTTTGCCGGCTTGGAATTATTCTTATTTTCATCCTACTTCTTCTTTTTCTTCTTATGAGGATGAGGATGAAGAAGAAGAAGTAGGATGAAAATAAGATTAATTCCAAGCCGGCAAAAAGTGTATCTGCAGCGCTCCTCTAAGTGTATTTGCAGAATGTCATTTATGGAAAAAAATAGATACAATGTTTCAACCGCTGTATGGAAGGACAGTCCCAGAACTGTCAGAAATAGTCTATTTCTGACAGTTCTGGGACATTCACTCCATACAGCTGTTTCAACCCGCTGTATGGAGGGAATGTCATAGAACTGTCAGAAATAGACTATTTCTGACAGTTCTGGGACTGTCCTCTTCCATACAGCGGTTTGAAACATTGTATGTATTTGTTTCCATAAATGGATCCATTTATGGAAACAAATACATACAAATGTATCTGCAGAATGTCATTTATGGAAAAAAATAGATACAATGTTTCAACAACCGCTGTATGGAGTGAATGTCCCAGAACTGTCATAAATAGTCTATTTCTGACAGTTCTGGGACATTCACTCCATACAGCTGTTTCAACCGCTGTTATGGAGGGAATGTGCATGGAACTGTCAGAAATAGACTATTAATGACAGTTCTGGGACTCTGACAGTTCCATGACATTCCCTCCATACAGCGGTTTGAAACAGCTGTATGGAGTGAATGTCCCAGAACTGTCAGAAATAGACTATTTTTCTGACAGTTCTGGGACAATCACTCCATACAGCTGTTTCAACCGCTGTATGGAGGGAATGTCATGGAACTGTCAGAAATAGACTATTAATGACAGTTCTGGGACTCTGACAGTTTCATGACATTCCCTCCATACAGCGGTTGAAACAGCTGTATGGAGTGAATGTCCCAGAACTGTCAGAAATAGACAGAAACTGTCACAGAACTGTCCTTCTTCTCATCCTTCTCCTTCTTCTCATCCTTCTTCTCATCCTTCTTCTCATCCTTCTTCTCATCCTTCTCCTTCTTCTTCTCATCCTTCTCCTTCTTCTCATCCTTCTCCTTCTCCTTCTTCTCATCCTTCTCCTTCTCTTCTTCTCATCCTTCTCCTTCTTCTCATCCTTCTCCTTCTCCTTCTTCTCATCCTTCTCCTTCTCCTTCTTCTCATCCTTCTCCTTCTTCTCATCCTTCTCCTTCTCCTTCTTCTCTCATCCTTCTCCTTCTCCTTCTTCTCATCCTTCTCCCTTCTCCTTCTTCTCATCCTTCTCCTTCTCCATCTTCTCATCCTTCTCCTTCTTCTCATCCTTCTCCTTCTTCTCATCCTTCTCCTTCTCCTTCTTCTCATCCTTCTCCTTCTTCTCATCCTTCTCCTTCTCCTCATCCTTCTCCTTCTCCTTCTTCTCCTTCTCATCTTCTCCTTCTCCTTCTTCTCATCCTTCTCCTTCTCCTTCTTCTCATCCTTCTCCTTCTCCTTCTTCTCATCCTTCTCCTTCTCCTTCTTCTCATCCTTCTCCTTCTCCTTCTTCTCATCCCTTCTCCTTCTCCTTCTCTTTCCTCATCTCCAAGGGCATTTAAATTAAAGGTACAGTGTTCTGCACTAATTTAAAGGCTCTCTGAAGCCTAGAAACCCTTTTTATAAGTCATCTTCGTAGCGAAGAAATTCGCATCGAATCGAATTTCACACTGGAATTCGCCGAATCAGCCGAATCGAATTTTTGAGAAATTCGCTCATCTCTAGTTACTACAGTTATTTATTTATAATATTACATACTATAGTATGAATATATGAATATATGCATTCCGTTTTTCACCTTGCCTAAATTTTTTTACTGTCTAGTAGAAATGTAAAGCAAGCCATAGATTATGCAATTGCTCAGTGTTGATGGGGGAATCCCTCCCACTGCACTATTGTATTCTGACAGGAGGATTCCATGCCATCAGAATACAATGATCACTGTTGACAGCTATAGACACAGGCAGTGATTGCACAAAAAAAAAGACAGGCTGGTTGTACTTAAGCTGATCTATAGATTGACTTTAGTACAAACAGCCAGCCCATAGATGGATTGAAATTCAGCTGCTTCCTGCTGCTTGGATCCGTCTCTGGCCGGCCTAAGGGTGACCTCAGCAAAAAGAAGACCATCCCTTTAACAGTGGTCAGTTTACAAGGCACTCTGACCTGTGTAAGCAGTCATACAGATAAGTCGTCATGGCCTAGGTATGGAAACGTGCCTAATTACAAGCAAATCTGAACTCAGGTGAGAAACAAAGAATGGGCATGACCTTAACTAGCATAAAGGAGTATTCTAATCACATGAGTAAAACCATGCTAAGAAATCTGCTTAGCACATATTAGCAATTAAGGCATTGTCCTAAGTAATTGCTTCTATTTAAAGCTGAACAGTGCTACTGCATGCACGAGATCTGTGTCATTGTGTCAAAGGGTATCTACCTTATTTCAAGGAAAAGGTAGATATGCTGTTCTAAAAATACTATATACAGTATATACATATACTGTATATATATATATACTTATATATATATACAGGTTAGTCCCTATGATAGTCTGAATTAAAAAAAAATTAAATGATCAATTTGTTTTTCCCGATTGATCTCTGATTGGAATGATCAATAACTATCTACTAAAAAACTAAAAGCCAAATATCACCCAAACCGTACTCTCCGCTCCTCGCATGACCTCCTGCTCTCTAGCTTCCTTGTCTCCTCCTCCCATGCTTGTCTCCAGGACTTCTACAGAGCTTCCCCCATCCTCTGGAACTCTCTCCCCCAAGCTATCCAACTATTGCCTACTCTGCCCACTTTTAGGCGATCTCTGAAAACCTATCTCTTCAGAGAAACCTATCCTGCCTTAAGCTAATAATGGAATCTTCTATTCCTCCTATCAGTTCATCCCCCACAGTTACTACCTTTTGTACCACCAGCCCCTCCCTCTTAGACTGTAAGCTCCAAGGCGCAGGGCCCTCCTAACCCTCTTGTATTGGACTGTCTCATTGCTGTATTGTCTTCCTTTATATTGTACAGCGCTGAGCAAACTGTTGGCGCTATATAAATCCTGTATAATAATAATAATAAAGACAAAACTTTTTTTTAGTTTTGAACAGAGTGGAGAGGGATTAGAACACCTGTAAGTTTTCATTGCTGTCTGTGACACTATTAAGTCAAAGTAAAAAAAATCCCAATTTTTGGGTTGTCCCTGGAAAAGTAATAGAGGGGAAATCTTCCAATGGGGACACTAGTTCTGGTACCTGGGGGACCCCAATGAATTCCCTTAATTTACAGGGATTTCTTTTCACTTCCTGTTTGGCCATGGGACAGGAAGTGAAGAGAAATCTCCACAATGTGACACAGATGATGGCAAGAAAAGCAACCTGACAGGGGTTACACCCTTCCCTTGCTCTATCCAACAGGTTTGACTTTAATTCTACATTAAATAATAAGTTAATTTCTGCAGGTAAAAAAAAATGTGCATTTACTAATTTTTTTTTGAGCCTCGAAAGCATACATAATTGATTGCATGTCTGATTCTGCTATGTAATCTCAGAATCTGATAATGGAATTCATGAACAAAATATTTCAGTGCTCCTGCACTCAGTAGTTAATTTTCAGTCAGTTAAACTAATTCAATCTGAATTAAATCTTAGGGCCAGTTCACACTAAATGTGTTTCAGTTGCTTTTTATCTGCATCCAAAACGCACAGAAAGTAGGTTATATGGTTGTCAATGTCATAGTTCACATCAGTGCATGCAGTTCCAGTGCGTTCCAGTTGCAGAAAAAAAAGTAGAACATGCTGCATTTTTTCTGCACATAACTGCACTGGAACGCAGTAAAATGCATCAAAAACATACCGGAACGCACCAAAAGCACACTGGTCGCACATGTCCCGATTAAAATTTAAAAAAAGAGAAGGGGAAAAAAAGAACTGGAACGCATCAAAAACGCATCAAAAACACACCAGAACGTGTCATAAACGCACATGTGGAAACATATCCGGAACGCATCTCGAATGCGTTTCTATAGTGTGAACCGGCCCTAAATCAATCGGCAGGTAAGTTATGGCTATTCAGTTATTTGTGGATTTAATTGTTTTGATCAAAATCACAGATTACAAATTTTAAGCTCAAAAACCGATGAGTGAAATAGCGTTTTAGTAGCTTTTAGCTCTGTTTAGGAGCATTTAGGAGCATTTAGCATTTTTTATGCTGGAAAAACTCCCCAAAAAAACTAGAAAAATATTTTTTTTCTGAAAAAGTTCCTAGACACTGAAGCTCAAAAATGTTAATAGCCTAAAGTAGTGTGCATGGATACATAGGATAACACTATTTAGGATCTAGGAACATAAAAAAAAAAAATGCTGCTAACAGCTTCTAGGTGCTTAAAAACATCTGTCACACGGGGGTGTCTATTTATATCATCAGACAATTCTTTCTTTTTTTCTTAAACTGATGTGCGAATGTGAGAAAGCAGCTGTAATACTGTCTACCCACATGTAAGAAAAATATATTTGAAATATATTTTAAAAATATTCTTGCCAACTATATTGCCATATATTTGAAATACTACAATTTTGGCCATATTTAATATATTTCAATATATGCATATACAGTATATATATATATATATATATATATATATATACTGCATGTTGAAATGCGTTTTTATTACAAAATATATGAAAAATATTTTTAAAAATACATTTCAAATATGCTGTATGTCTTTAAAAATACAAATCTACATTTTTGGAATGCATTTACAAATGTATGTAAAAATATATGTTAAAATTACTTTTAAATGTTTAAATGTTAAAAAAAAATCTGAAGAATATATTTAAAAATATATATATTTTTCTTCCATATGGGTAAGCCTTGGTTCACACCGATGCGGTGCGGAATTCACACGTTTTTTGTGCGAATTCCGCACCGCATCATAATCGCACCCTGTTCCTGCGAATTGCTGCGGGTGTGTATGTCAAGTTAACAACACCCTGAAATTGGTTCACAATACTCGGTGCGATGTGCATAATCAGATCGCATGGGTGTAAACACCCAAGCAATCCAATTATAGTGCGGACAAAAAAAAAGGGTCCTGCACCTTTTTAGGGCAGATGCGGTACAATTTGAGCCATACAAAATGTATGGCTCGAATCGCACTGCACAGCATTTGCATGTGATTTGCATGGGAACCGCACTGCATTCCTGTGCAATTTGTGTGATTTGCACATTAATGCGGTGCGGCTCCTGTGCGAATCACATGCGATATATCGCACCACAGAAGTGTGAACCCAGGCTAAATGTGCAGTGCTGTATTTATGTTAGCAGTGTCCTATTTCCCATCCCTGCCAAAAACAAAACATAGAATGCTTGCACCAACAAGGAAAAAGCTCTGAACAAAGCCGACAACTATTGCTACATTACAAACCTGCCAATATTATGTTCCAGGACTTTGATCTGATTCTGGTCTTCTTGGTTTTGTCTCAGCATGTCCTGCTGTTCCTCTGGGCTCATAGTATTTAATCCATCCAGCAGCCATTTTTCCCGCATGGCTTTTTTCTAAAAATGGAATAAAAAAACTTTTTCATATGTATTCTAATAACAATATCTGTGGTAGATACTACAATTGCTGTTTCCACAATTCTAAAGCTTGTATTTAACATCTCTTTTTTTTTTTTTTTGCCCCATTAGGGTAGGCAAAGAGTTATGTATATATCAGGCATGTAGGCGGCTGCTGTGCTGACTCAGGCACTGCTGCACAGTAGCCCACTGTTGTTTGTGCCCACCATTGCACAGCAACTATGAATTCATCCAGGACTTACAAGTGATTTCAACAGGAACCAAAGCAATCATGGTGTTGTCATAGAGAGCTTTGTTAGACTTTGTCTTCGGGAAGATCATATTAAAGCTGAAAATAAATAGTAACAATGCAAA